CACATTTCAACCAGAACACTTCATCTCTGGACACAGAACCGTCTCCTTCCTGAGCCTATGATGGCTGGACATTCCCATGGTGGTTCTACTGATAGAACTGTTGGAACAGATGAACGTGGAACCTTCAGGCATCTGGACATTGTACCCAACAGTGACGTGCAGTCAGGGGAAGAAAAAAATATGTAATGATAAAATGATTTAAATGGTTATATTGATCCAGTGATTTGTACTATGAAGTATTTCTTCTTTCATTTAGCCTCGTCAATTTTGATGATTTTTTAAAATTCAAAATCACAGAATTTTCGCAATTTCTCATTTAAATGCCTGAAAGAGAAGCCGGTGAAGCAGCAGCGAGCTCAGCTTCACTTGGATTGCACAACCCCTCACTACCTGCTGGCTGCCTGCAGTGACAGCGTGCTGCTGTCTGGATGTCGCCAATAACATGTTTCAAACACATTTAACATATGAACTGATTTTCCATAGTTCAGCTGATGTATATAATAATGTTCAGTGTTTTTTGTTACCAACTGTATGTGTGTAACGTGTTTCGTGTGCTGAGCGATCAGAACCGGCTGAGAAGAGGTTCCAGGTGAGGCTGGCAGTTCTCTTGCCTCATGGCAGGGGGCGCTCTGGTCCTACATGCTTCTTGTGACTCCATGGCTGCAGAGTCAGTGACAGCAAGCTAGACTGGGTACGGTATACAGTTAGAAGGTCAAGTGCAGCGAAGGAAGATAAGGAGACTTTTACAAAAAAGTACCGGATGTTTTGTCCAGAAGGAGGAGCATGGACTTCATTTAAAGGTAAAGGTAAGACCGAATAACTTGAAGAAAAAAAAAGAAGAAGAAGAAAGAACCATGTGTTTGTGGGCTACAGTTTGTATGTATAAAGAATGCAAATGTGAAAAATAACCCGTAAACTGCTGCCAATCAAATATGCTACTGTGTAGAGTGCATATATTTGTAAATCAGATTGTGATGAAGTCAGAGCCTCACCAGCCACGAACCTCACCGCACCTCACTGGTACCCAGGGATGGACCAGACTGGTGGAGGTCCACAGTTCTCCTCCTGATATCTTGGCTGATTTCTTTAGATGTTCCATGTTGTCACAAAGGAAGCAGTGTGTTTGAGGTGTGCCTTAAAATACATCCACAGGTGTGTCTCCAGTTAACTCAGATGGTGTCAATTAACCTATCAGAAGCTTTCAAAGCCATGACATCATCGTCTGGGCTTTCCCAAATAGTTTGAAGGCATCTTAGTGGATGTAAACTTCTGGTTTCAACTGTATGTGCCATAATGCAATAAACCACAAACACTACTGAGGTCGTCCATGATTATAGCTTGTAGAAGCCTTGTCACATCCACCCAGAGTCAGCAATAGACCAGAAGCCAGCTTCTCTCTGTACTGCCTCTTGGCTGCTATGGTGGCTTTTCTCACCTCACAACTTTGTACTCTGTCTCGCTGCCTGATCTAAATGCAACAGAGTGAGCAGCATACAGCGTACCTGAGTGTTCATTAAGGGATCTGGTTGGGGAACTTTCTGATTTGCATGGTGGACACGATGTTGTCAACACAGATGCTAATATACAGATGCTGACAGCAGAGTCCTCCAGAGTGGCTGCATCTTTAGACACATCCCAGTCAGTCCAAGCAAGGGGGTCCAGAGTTTCACTTGTGTGATGAGAGGTTTGTTTGTTTCAGTCTTTGTCTGTAGGCCGGGTACAGGAACAAGGAAATGTGGTCCGAGTGTCTGAAGTGGAGGCTTGGTGCAGCCCTGTTGGCACCGTGTATGTTACTGTAGACATGATCCAATGGGATCGCTCACGTTTGTAGTGTTTGGGAAATGCAGTTTTTAAATTGCACTGGTTGAAGCCACCAGCAGTGAAGAAAACAGCATCAGGATGAGCTGTACGCGGCAGTAAACTCCCTCGGTAGATGATCGGGACGGCATTTCAGCAGTAAAAACTCCACATCTGGCCAACAGTGCTCACAAACAGTGCGTATATCTCCACACCACGAGCTGTTAATAAACACACAGATCCTCCCCATAAGCCTGACTGGAGGCTGCAGTTTGGTGTCCTGGCTTTCAGTCTGACATTCTGGGTCTTGGGGAGAATTTAGAGCGCAGCACGCTCTTATTTCCCACTGAGCTTTAATCCTGGCTCTTAGCTCGTCCATTTTGTTAGCAAGCAGCTTGGTAGCGATGGTCGGCTAGCGCAAGCTTTTCGTCTTGTCCGGAGCCCTCCCCTCTCGCCTGGCTTGCTCACTAGGGCTTGGTACTTTGGGGTTTCCTGGGGGTGGGGGTGGTGGGTTGTAGCTCTGGTGGTATCAAACCAGTAACTTTATAATGTCTGTGTGAGCTGGCGATGTCCAGCAGTGTACGTCTGGTAAATGTTAACAGCCAGCGGAGCGAGCAGAGGGGGCGCCATGGTAACCGAAGCTCTTTTCAGAGCAAAAACTGCTCATTTCAAAAGTTTTAATTAGTTTTGTAAAGTTTGCAAAGTTACTCCTGAAGACTGTGAAGCAGCAGAATCAGTAAACCTACTTTATGTGTATAAATATATATCCAGTCCTTCATGGATTTGTTTTCAACACTTTGTATCATTTTTTAAACATTTTTAACAAAGAATTAATAATCATAAGAATAACAATGAACCTGTTTAAGGTGTTGCTGCCTTGTAACTGTTTCACAGTCTTAATCCTTAACTTCTGTTTTCATCAACTGAAGAAGATTGTGCCACCTTGTGGTGTAACCAGGCTTTTTGGTTTTATTCAAATATCTGAGGTGTAAAGAAGCCCAGTGATGCATCAGGATCAATGTTTTATCAATATTTCAGTCACTGGTTTGGTTTTCTGCAAACCAGATCTGTGTATCTGATGATGCTGCCGTCCTGTTAGTTGTAATGGAGTATTCAGACATTGAGCTCAGCAGTATGTGTCTGCAGACCTGGAGGCTGCACTCACAGGGCCCTGCATCACCTACCACAATGAACCATCACCACAAAGCATGGTTTAGTTCTAAAGGATGATTCCTCTCAAAATATATTTATAATTTAAAAGGCTGATCCGAGGACGATTCCACATAAAGTACTGCTTCATATCCAAGTACCGGTCATTTTAAAGTTTTTTTTTTCATCTAAATAGAGCTTTTCAACCAACAAGCTGAGGTTTGAAAGGTTTATTCCACCAAAATACTACTTATGACAATAATAACTGGTTGCTGAGACTCGCATTTGGGCAAATAGTGTCATGAACACACTGATGAACAGGTAGGATGATGATGGCCTCTGATGATGATGGACCTGCTGCTGTGGCCTCTGGTCTGCACATGTCAACCAGGACAGTCTGAAAAGAGACGAAACACCAGGAGGACTCTGGAGACAGAATTATATGTTTATTTGTTCTATACAACAACATTTAATGAAAATAAAAGCAACAACACACTAAAGTGAACTGGTCTTGTGACTCCCACCTCAGAATCTGTGATGTCACTTCCTCCTGAGACACAGAGACAGACATTAAGGAGTCAGAAGGCTGGGCTGTCTTTAACCATTTATTGGTCCATCTGGCAAATATAAGAAACACTCAGCACGCTACGAAAGGAGCAGCTCGGTCATTTCAGCTAATGTTCGCTTGTTAGCTTCTGGAGTTTCTCAAACTCGCTATGAACATATTTAAACAGTAACACACATATCAACACACTCTAATGAACATTCATGTGGTTGTTAATGCAGATACACTCCAAAGATAGATAAAGGAAAAATCATAAAACAACCATTCATGAGCCATGCTGTACTCCACAACCGACCTCGTGCACGCCTCTCAGGAACGACAGCATAACAACACCCCAGCTCCCAAGGGGGCGCCACTGAGCCAACAACAAATCAACATGACATCCAAACCACAGCAAGTGGAATTATCCACATATGCACTGTTACATATACAATAATAATGGAACAGACGAAGCAATAAATCCACCAAAGACGAGGCAAAGTGCTTGTTTTATTATTTAGCGTAACAGGAGTCAGTGGCTCCCCAGCAGTTTGAGTTTGGTTTTATGTGCTGAAACATCTTTGTGACCCCAAGAACACCAGCGTCTCCTCCTGGTCAGGGCAGGCCGACGGCGGACCAGAGCTCCAGCAGGACGTCCACCTTCAGGTAAACTCTGCAGAATGTGAGGAGAACTCCGAGAGACGAGAACCCGATGAGAACCCAGAGAACCTGAGCACTGAAGTACAGCGGAGCCAGACTGGAAGAGACAACAGAGACAAGAGAGTTTTAGGGCTGGCCAAGTCATCCAATCACAATTTCACCTTCTCTTGATCACAGAAACACTGTAATCGAAGCTAAACGATTATTGTGCTGCGTCGTGCATGCAAATTCCTGAGCACCTTGAACGCGCCTGTCTTAAGGCTGGATTATGTTTTCCGTATGAACGTAACGCACAGAATCAGCAGGAGAAAACACACGTGGTGTCTGTTACCAAACTGTAGGGGGCAGTGTGTCACAAACACACGTATACCACCAGACTAAATTGGAGGAGAAGTTTGGCGTTGTTCACGTCGCTTCCAACACGGTGACACATGCGGGTAGTTTACACCAGGTGGCAGTAAATACGCCGGATTTAGCACAAGGCTTAATTCCATCCGTGTGTTTTCTGTTCTGACATAATTATCAACAGACTCATCAAGAACCAGGAAGCGGATCCAGATAAGAGTTTAGAGCCAACTCAACTCTCTTAGAATCTTTGGGACGTTCTGGCTTCCCCTTGGGTCTCCACTTCGCCCTTTGCTGCTCTTTTTTGCCTTCATGTATCCGTCCTGTAGGTGTTTCCAGGTTTTCTTTGCCCGTTCCTCTTCTTTACTCAGTGTGGCCGCAACTTCACACCAAGAATTGTCCATCACACAACTGTCTTGGTGATTCCTATGTAAACAATCCCCAACAGGGTGTGTCTGCAGAGCCTTTCTAGAGGAAACTTTATGCATCAAACACTTCCGAAAATTTCTAACAATGTGGACGGAGACGCGGAGGAAACATGGTGGATGAACAGCAGCAGAAATATGTTTGCAGCGCCGAAGGCAGCACTCTGAAGACCGCAGCTTCTTCTACAGCCGCACGCCGAGAGGCTTTTATTCAGGACAGCGCCACCTACCGCAATGAATGGTAGCCAAAATACGCAATTTAGTTCTAAAGGGTGATTTCTCTCCAAATATAGGTCAAACATAAAAGGTTGATCCAAAGTACTGCTTCATGTCCAAGTACCTAAAGGTTTCTTCATCCAAATAGAGCTTTTTAACCAACAAGTTGAGGTTTGCAAGGTTAATTCCACCAAAATACTACTTATGACAATTATAACTGGTTGCTGAGACTCGCATTTGGGAAAATGATGTCATGAACACACTGCTGAACAGGTAGGATGATGATGGACTCTGCTGCTGTGGCCTCTGTGGTCTGTAGCCCAGATGCAGCAGTCTGAGTGTGTTCAGAGCTCTCAGAACCCACCGACAGGTCGCTGGTGTTGGTGTCACCTGCTGATTGGATGCTGAAGACAGCAGCAGCATTTGATGGAGGACAGTCACGACGTGAGTCCTGGTGGTGAATCGTTTAATCAGTTTAACGTCGTAAAACAAATGAACGTTTGTTTAAATGAATTTATCATTTAACGTTCTGAACATTTCTGCTGTCTTCATCTGCACAGCAGAGCTGTTGGTAACTCGCTGAACTGTGAGAAAAACCATGTTTTAAGTCGTCATTAAACAGCAAACAGTCACGTTTGAACTGATAGAAGCTGCAGTAAAACCAGCGTTTAGCTTGTTTCTGTTAAACTGAGTCATGGTGAGATTTGGGCAGCAGAGCTCAGAGATGATGATCATGAACTCCAGACGGCATTAATGAACCTTGATCCGATGATAGAAGCCTGTTGACATGATGACTGTCAGCTCCATGAAGCAGCCATCACCCTGCTCATATCCTCATTGTTCTACATCCTGATCATGTTCATAACTGTCATGTTGGTCACTGCAGACATCTGAACTGGTCCCAGTAGAGACAGCAGAGGTGTAATAACTCTGGCTTCATTCCTCTGAGCAGAGCTCCTGCTGTGATGCTGCTGCTTCTAGACAACAAGTCCAATCAGTGTCTGAACAGTCGGGCAACACTGCCACCATCAGGTCAGACTGTAAATTGCTAAAATGTCATTTCTAATTTCCTTCCATCGCACTATTAGCACCTTTACAAGCTATAGACACAAACATTAGAAAAACGTTTCCATGTTCAGAACATTTTAACTGAATAAAGCTACAGTGGGGCCGTTTGGGGGCAAAACTCAGCTTCCAGCAATGCAAACTAAACTTTTGGACATTATTTGGAGAAATTTGAGTAATTTTGAACAAATTCTGAATAAAATCAGGGAAAATATGAGTCACGTTGGGACATTTTTCAAGTCAAGTTTGGAGTCACGTTTCACAAATTTGGCGTCGTTTTGGAGAAATTCTTAATGTGTTTTTGAACAATAGTTGTGTCTGGGACATATTTGTATAGTTTTTAACAAACTTTGAGCCATTTCTGACAATCTTTGAGTAATTAAGTAAATAAAAAGTGGACTTATTTTAAGTAATTTAGGGAACATAAAGACATTCTGAACAAGTTTCGAGTCGTTTGCTCCTGAAACTGAGAACATTGTTGTGTCTTTGAGCTTCTCAGAGTTCCTACCGTCCATGTGCAGACGCTGAATATCCCCAGAAGTAAAGGAGGCGTCCGTACAAGTAAAGCACGCCGCAGACTGAAGACAGACCTGCGACACAAACACACCTTTACTCTGTGTTGCAGGTAACCACACGGCTGATTGGCAGGTATCGACTCACCTGGACTGAAGAAGAGTCCGGCCGTCCACAGCACAGTGATGAAGATGGGAAAATACTCTGAACAGTTTGCTCTGAAAACAGAAGACACATTTCATTGTGTTGAAGCAGCCATGAGGCAGTAAAGGCAGCAGCCTGCAGGGGGCGCCAGCAGCTCTGACTTCATTCATTTAGTTTTCTTTCCTACTTTAGTTTGTCAATCTGCGCTTTTTCTCCGTCTCACATTGATTTTAGCCTCTGTACCTAAAAACACGTTTCTTGAGAGGAACGTTGCATCATAGGAAAGCAGAATAATTGATGGAGGTTGTTAAAAACGCACATCAGAACCCTGCACACGAGAAACATCGATGATTTTCAGAAAGAGTGAGACGACAAAACTAGCGTTTGTTTACAACAATTTGCAGAAAACTTTTATTGATTTTACCTCCTACAGCTAAAAACGTCTGTAATTCAGTGACAACATTTTAACAACGTGAGCTTAAAGTTGACTTTTTTTTCCTCTTTATTCTAATGTCTGATTTAAAAATTTGCCAAAATATTTGTTTGCAGCAACTACATTCTGAGTCTTCAGGTGAACTGGCAGTGAAAATCAATCATACAGGATCAATAAATAAATGCAGCGTGGCTCAGAAACAGAGAACAGAGGAGCAAGCTGTTGGAAGATCTGTCAAATCTGTAAATGCTTTTGATTCCAGGATTTTCATTTCAATCTTTTTCAGTTTTCTGTCATTTCTGAGTTCTCTCTCCTTCTTCATGAGGTTATATTGAAAACTGAAAGATAAAAATTATAGAAAAAAATGAGCCCAGAAGCTGGTTCTGAGGGTTAAACTGTGTTTCCTCCTAAAACTGAGGAAACTTATTTCTAATATGTGTAAATCAAGTATGAATCCAGGTTTAATGAAGGTTGAATGATTAAAAGCACTGATCTTCAAGCTTTAGTTGGTGACAAGAAAAGTGTTTCAAGGACATTAACCAAACCTCAACTTAACTCAAACTCAGTTTTGACCTAAATCTGATTCAACTTTAACCTAAACTCAACCTTAAACTGGATCTTTGACCTAAAACGTGACTGACTGAGCTCTGAAGATCCTCTCAAACTCCGGTGGTCCGCTGATGGCTGGCGGAGAAACCGAATACTTTCTCCTGGCGTAGATCACCTGGAGGGAGAAATAAGCTGCACACACACACACACACACACACACACACCTCAGTTATCTTCACTCATCAGCGATATCAGGTTTAAAGTGCGTATAACAATAAACGTTCCTGAAAATGTTAGAAATGCCCGAGTCAGCGGCTGTCGGAGTTCTCACTCTGAGCAAAGTTCAGATTGTGTTTGTAGTAAATGCAAATTTGATTTAGAAAAAGAAATGACAGTGAATGGGAGCTGAGAGGAAAACGTGACAACTTCAACATGAACTTCAATTCAAAATGCTTAAAGTTAAGTTGAATGTAAGCGTACATTTAGTTTGACACAATCTGAGCTTTAAATGTTACCCAATCAGCTGTTGTACTAGTTTCTCACAGACGCTGCTTTCAGCTCATACAGGCTCATACAGGCTCAGTTCAGCTGAAGAGAATATGCAAATGTCCTCAGTAATAAGTAGAAGCTGAAGTGAAGCCAGCTGCGAAATAAGTTTTATAAAGAAAATAAAGAAATTAACAATTCAACAGGAGCCAGATTTTACATTTTTAAACTCAATCTAAACCTCTAAACCAGACTCCAGTCATTTTTCTGCAGATGTAACGAGTCCTCCGTCATTTATCCCAGCAGGCCCGGCTCACCTTGCTCCAGGACGCCCAGCACGGTGACGGCGCCGAGGCCGACCGCCTCCTCCAACATCTCCAGGCAGGTGAGACCGAAACACACCCGAGTACCGAGACAGTCAGTGAGCAAAGCCACAAGCATCCAGAGAGCTCAGGTAAAACAGGACAGGTGACAGAGCGGGCACACCTGTCGGCAGGCGGGGCCAAAACGCAGTCAGCCTAAACAGTTCACCAGGCTGATGAGTGTGAACAGGTAACCAGGTTGGTGAATAACCTGCTGCATCAGTTTAAAGTTAACTAGGACAAGAGGTTACCTGCTGTCTCAACTTAAACCGTTAACCAGATTAACGAGTAACCTGCTGACAGGTGAAAGCTTACAGGTTAGTCAAAAGTAATATAGATCATGACTAGCTAAATGTTGAAATGTAAATAACTAGTTCTAAGCAACAGTTAGCTGACACGCTCTAGCAGTAGTGACAAGTTAAACAAGTAAACAGCTAGTTAAATTGTTTTCTAAATAATAACACTGACGACAAGTAACACACAGCTGGAAGTAATGGATTACATAGGTAACTAAGTAAACTACGAGCTAGTAGTTAAAAAGTTACATAGAAGTAAAGGATTGAATGTGAGCCAATTAAACAGCTTCAGTCAATGAAAGGATGAGCTGAAACCTGAGTACAGCTGAACAGATAAACGGTTAAAATAGAGCGAAATAGGGCTGAAAGACGAGCGTGGAATAGTTTAACGTAGAAAATGTTCGACTGTTTACTTAGTTAGCTAAACAGCTCCATTTGGGATCTACAGGAGAAAGCCCGGTTAAGTCACGAATAACTAGCCGACTAGCCAACAGGCGACTTCATCACGGTTCAAGTAGTTCAGAGACGTGGATGAAACATTGAGGCTCTGCTTATCAAGCCCAATACAAATGAGACACTGACATTAAGGTGTATTCTGAACTGATGAAGTCATTGACGGATGATGATGATGATGTCGGGAACCACTGATCAGAACAGGAACCTCCTTTACTGAATGTCTGAAACCTTCTGCTCACTTTCACCACACTGCCTCCATGTTTGTTGTTGGTAAGAGGCTCCACATTTCAGGGACACAAACACACGGACCACCAGGTTGTTTCTAAAGAACTATATTTACATAATACTCTTGTTTTACAGAGAACCATATCAAAAGTATAAAATACTTACAAAAACTCCGCTGCAATATATAAAAATAACATCTATCTTCTCCAGGTCATTAGGAAAGGCATACATACAAAAAATATATTTATAGACATTTACACAGAGCCCATTCACAACAGTTAGACCCAGAAGGTTCCGGCGGGCCGAGCGACGCCGAAGGCCAAAGACTCGGCCGGAGGATTCGGATGAAGACATGAAACCAGCCCCAAACCACCGCTTAGCAGGAACAACATCACAAATAAAATACACAACAACAAAAATAACAAAACGCATCTTTGAAGGAGTCAAAAACAGTACAGTAGATAGGACGACCGGTCAGGTCCGCCTTAAACGGGACGACCGGTCAGGTCCGCCTTAAACAGGACGACCGGTCAGGTCCGCCTTAAACAGGACCACCAGCCACAGGTCCGCCTGAAACAGGACTACCAGCCGCAGTCTGCCTTAAACGGGACGACCAGTCAGGTCCGCCTTAAACGGGACGACCGGTTGCAGTCCGCCTTTAACGGGACGACAGCCGCCAGACAGAGGTCACTCAGAGGTTCGTCAGAAACAACCAGAGAGCCAACAAAGAACCAACCACAGAGCAGAGACCAACGCAGAGTGAGAACCATGTGGACACAATGTAAACAACGTCCATGCTTAAATTCATCGGTGCAGCTTTAAACCTTTAACTGCGATCTTTGTTTGTGGGAAACTCGAGGGGATGTTATGGAAAAAGGCAGCGCTAAGCTAACGCTGACTGCTACTAATAAATATTCCCAACATCAAATACGTTCTTAGTTCTTTGACTATAAAAGATGCGACGACGGGGCACGTAATCAACGTCAAATCCACCAGTGCTGCTTCAAGTCTTTAGTGTGTGATCGCCGTTTGTGGGAAAGAGACATTTTAAAATGAAGCTGTCCAATTATCTGTTGATTATGTTCTGGATTAAACCGCTAGTTGCACCAAACGTTTAACTCTCTTTACACACCCAGCAAATCATTTTTAGTCGATCAAATAACAAAAAAACATTCAGTAAACCAAAAAACAGCCTCAGAGTTTGTCTTTAAATATCATGTAGTGACCAACAGTTGTTTTCTGTGCAAACAAAATCCTGGATGTGAGTCTGAAAACTGAAGAAGCGTTTAGTTATTTGTGCTGCCACTAACACGAGCAGTTTTACTGCCAGTTATTTTATGTTTGGTCTCTAAAACGTCAGGAAATGCCAATAAAACAAATAGATGCAGTGTACTGTCATTCAGGAGGAAAATAACCAGAACATATTCTCACTGAAGAATCTTTTACATTAAAATACGACTCTTGTCTGCACTGGTGTTGAAGCGCAGCGTCGCCACAGCAGCAGCAGCAGCGTTCTCACTGGGCTGCAACGCAACCACTGCTCGTGTTCTTCTCATACTGAACAGATTTTACAAAAGAGATGATCCACATTCAAACTGCTGAAGTTTTCAGCCACGACAACATTTAAACTCGAGGCTCTGAAAACTGTTTAAAGGGCAGGATGTCCGACAGCGTGCTCGTTTTGATCTCTTCTTAAAGGACCCTGTCTCTGTTTTTGTAGGTTTTATTGCAACACATTGAGCCGAGGACGACTCTGTGCTGACTGAAGACTAGAAACCAACGACGTGCTGAATTTAAAGCAGACTGAACATTTCTGCTGACTCCTTCGTTTGCACAACGTGTTTAAATAATGCACCACTTCCTTCAAAATAACGGTTAAAAAATAACTTATTAAAGGCCTTTTCCCACATTAAAGACACCGACAACCGCCAGCAAACTGATATTCTCACTGGAGCGGATCCAAAACGCTGAAGCATCCCTCCACATGACTGCAGATCATTTCCGTAAACACTGCTCCACATATTTAAATATTCAGCAGCACATCTTTCCATATTTTTTCCGACGGTATGTAAATCACCTAGCTGGAGCCGTGACGGCACGATAACAGTAAACACTCCAGTTGTTTTTGTTTTCTTGCTGTAAAAGGTCTAAAACGAGCAAAACCACAGAAGGGTCCTTTAACACAATGTTAATGTGTTGGTTTCGTTCACTCAGAGTGGCGCTGGCAACCTCAGGGTGGCGCTGTTGGGGCAGGTACAGTGGTTCAGCACTGAGCCATAGCTTCAGTAGTAGTCTTGGTGCGACTCAATCCATAAACACTGCAGTGTGTCATAGAATATTTATATATACTTATATACATACACGCTATCAGTCTCCATATACAGTCAGTCTGTGTAGATCTACACTCCTGGTAGAAACCAGTCTGACACCAGTTTGACACCAGTTTAACCTGATAAGATGAGACAAACTGTAAAGGTGGTTTTGAATAATGACAAACATCAAACATGGTCAGTCTGTGATGTTGCAGTAAAGAACACCTGAAGCCCCTTTAGACAGGATTCATGTCTCCAGATGGTAACACCAAACCACCCGTTAGCACTTCCTGTTTGTAACGGACCCAAACAGACAGCTAACACCAGCTCCATATGGTCCCGAAGAAGACTTAAAAATGTAATTATTCTGATTTGATTTCTAAGCAAATCTGACGTTTGTTGGTTTTTGTCTGATTTGGTTTGATTGCGACAAAGTAAATGAGCAGAAACTGAAGAGAACATCTCACATTTCATCCAGCTGTCACGCTCATCCTGTCAGAAAGGGGCTTTGCTTCAGGTGGACGTGTCGTTTACAGACCAGGATCACGGCACCGTTGGAAAATTCAGTCAAACGTAGGAAATAAAAAGTAATTTGGACGACAGGTAACAATCTGTTCACCTCTTGTTGCTTTGTGAAAACCAAAACCAAACATTACTGCCTGGTTGTTTTATCTCTAAGCTTCAGGATCTAAACGTTGTTGTCGTACAGCATCGTTTGTTTGTGCAGTGCATTAAATTCTTCTGTACGTTTATAGATGTAAATCAGCCGATCCCTCTGCGTATACGAGGCGCTGACAGGTTGACATTCATGTTCTACCAGGAGTGTATTTCTGCACCAAGCGGTTCATCGTTACATTTCTAGATTTCTGAATGGAGACTGGTGCTGTTCTGCTTAGTCGACTCGTCGGGGTTCAGCTCAGCTCTAAGTCAGCTGACGCCTTTGATTTACTTTAACCAGCTGATTTAGGGTCTCCGTCCTGTTCCTTCATCGCACTGCAGTGACGTGGCGGCTGGTCCAGACACCTGTGGGTCGACATGCATCCACCTGATGGAACTGAGCTTCAGTCGCATCAGAAACATCTTGTCCACAGAGCACAGAGACAGTGAATGAGACCCAGCTAGGCGGCTAACGTTAGCATGCTGCAGGACAGCGGCTCCAGGTGCAGACAGGTGACTAGTGGTGGCTGGCGAGCAGCTCGTCCAGGTCGGCCATCCACTCCTGCGTGCTCTGCCCCTTCAGCAGCGAGTCCACCAGCTCGCTCTCAGCGGCGAAGCTCCCCGACGCCACGTTGTATCCAAACGAAACCTGCTGCTGCTGCTGATTGGCAGTCCTGCTCACCTGGTATCCTTGGTTACACTGTAGGCCCTGGCGACCGCTGCCCTGCGGCTGTCTGAACGCCGCCAGGTCGGACAGGACGGCCTGGTTCTGATTGGCCTGCTGCTGCTGAGTCTGCTGTTGATTGGCCATCGGCTGGCCCAGGCTCTGGGGGTTGGGCGGCGCCCTCTGCTGGGCGGTGGCCATGTTTGTCTGCATCAGCTGCTGCCCGGCATTCAGACCTCCCATGGGACGTCCAGCGGGGTTGGTGCCAAAGGGCGCAGAGCCTGGCGGCATCTTGGAGATGCGCTGCTGCTGCTGCATGTGGAAGGCGTTGGGGGGATTGTTGAAGGCGTTGGGGGCCAGGCCTGCGTTGCTGGAGGGCGACTGGTTAGCGAGCTGCTGCTGCCAGGCGGCGCTCTGGCCACCCGGCATCCCGCCAGGCATGGACCCAGGCAGGCTGCCCCCCATGCTGCCCTGCATGGCGCCCGGCATGCGGGCGGCGGCCAGCTGCTGCTGCTTCAACATGGCGGCGTTGGGCTGCGCCTTCAGATGCTGCTGCTGCTGCTGTAGGAGGCTCTGCCTGTAGGGGGCGCTCATGGCACCCAGAGGCTGGCGCTGCAGGGCGGCCTGCTGCGGCGGGTGGGCCGGGTGCAGGTTCATGTCTCTGTAGAGGACGTCCACACCGGCCCCGCCCCCTCCGGCGCCGCAGGAAGGCAGACTAATGTCAGCCTGGCTGGCGGCCGGGGGCGGAGCTACGCTGCCCGTTGGCCCTCCGCTCTGACTCATGTTCATGCCCATCATGCCTTGGTTCTGAGAGAACATATGTGAGCCAGGGGCGGGGCCTCCCATGGAACCAACGCTCATTGGCTGAGAGGACGCTGTTAAGAAACAAACAGACAATTAACATTTAAAGTGTTATCGTCATTATTATAATGACATTATTTATAATGCTACAAATGCGTTATGGATATATTAACATCATTAATTGTATTAATACTCATTTATATTATGAATTTCCACTGTTAATAAATTAGTGATATTCATATTTAAAGAACACTTTCATTTACTTTCAGTAAATATTGAACATTTTAGTTTCACTTCAAACAGTTTATTGTTAATTCTCTTGTATTCCTGTTGGAACATTTGTGCCTCTTAAAAGTCATCCTGGTTATTTATCTCCATGTATGTTTCCCCATTTAAGTGGGTCACATGTTTTTCAGCTTGTCGTTCAGTTCACAGCCGAACTCTGAATATTTACAGTTACCTTCATTTTCCATTCAAATCAGTGGTGAGCATCATTTACACACAGAGACAGAGAGAGTTTGTCCTGAAGGCCACAGCAGAAACCAGAGACCTGATTAAACTCATTCTGAGGTTCAGCTCGTCCTGTTGTAGAATAAAACTTGATTTGAACTGACAGCAGCTCTTCAACTCCTGAACAAGTCGACTTCTATCACATATAATAATGCTGGGTCTGAACCGTAATATCTAAATGTGTCTGACCTTTATTATTGAAACTCGTCAGGTTAACTGGTATAATTTATAGTGTTATGGTGTCTGAACCTTAATATTTAAATACGTCAGATAAAGCTGTATAACGTTTCACATCAAGTCAAGGATTTACCTTCATATTTACGTTTCTTCAGTGATTTGTAGCGTAGAGCCTAGCTTCTCTTTTGGAAAGCAGTTTGGCTCGATGTTGTTTCAAATGTGACACAAACATGATATTAAAATGGAACCTAAATTAAAGCGACACAATATTTACTGTGTCCCTGTAAACAAAGGAGAAATCTAAACCCTCGAAGCATGTCAACTCTAAATGTTGGCATTTTTATTTTGTCAGTTCCTGCTCCTGTTGATTATGTTTCCATCACTACTTCAGTAACAGCAAACATTTCAAATTACTCCAAGTGCCATTGTGAAATCTGCTTTATATGAAATTTAATGACACAGCAAATCAGTTTTCACATTATTGTGCATCACAAGAAGCACAAAACTTCCCTTCAGTCATGATTCAGAGACGTATTAGACGTTCCTTATAAAACACAGTGAGGTTGTTGTAACGCTGCAGGTGATGTTCATCAGTGGCAGTTCAGAATAAACTCCTAATTTTTCTGATTTTGATTAATTTCTTCCTGAATGGAAACTCTGACTGCAGCTTTATAAGCCAAATTTATCAGTGAATCCGTTCTACATCCTGTAACATTATGGTTTTCGTTCGTTATCCCCCCTGGCTCAGTTCTGCTGCAAACATGTTTCTTTTCATTTTATTCAATTCTACAAAAATAGTTTGCACATATTTTAACCTGTTTATGTTTATGATTGACCTTAATTAATTTTATTGTATCTTTCACATGCTTCATTTCCTTCCCCTCTGAATAACCTCCATGTATACTACGCTGCTATATAAATACATTTACTCTTCAGTTTTACAGAATAAAAAGCAGAAATGTGAGAAGTAACTGCCTGATTTTGTGAATTTAATTTCACTGACTTCCTGTTCAGCATCAGCGTTTCTTCCCTGTGCTGTCTGAGCGGTACGTGAACACTTCCTGTACCTGTAAACTGGTTGACGGGCTGCTGAGGGAAAGGGTTCTGATTGGCCGGCGGTCCCGGCTGGTCCTGGTACTGAGGGGGAGGTCGGGTCAAGTGTCGCTGCAGCTGCTGGTCCTGCTGTCGCTGCTTCTCCTGCAAAGAGACGCAACACGTCACATTCTTTCGTCTGGAGACAGAATCTTTGCCACAGATTTAATAACTAAACACTGAATATTTCACATCGTCATTACAATGCGATGAAATAAATACTCTGGAGCATTTTAACAATTGTTCAGGCTGTCTGGTGGGCTGAGAGCAAAACTTGTTGAACTTTATATTTTAAACTGTAGCATCACAAATATGACAGAAATGAAGGGGGAAGAAATAAGAGGATTCCTTTAAATGAAGCCTCTAGTTGAAGATCTGATAACTGCTATGGATGCTAAACAGAGAAAAACATGTGGACAGTCAGAGCTGTAACGCTTTAATACTGCAGCCTCTACACATCAGCTAACACATCTGCAGGGACGTGACTCTACCAAGCACACTCACATTCACACCTACGGACAATTTACAATCACCAATTAACCTCAGCATGTTTCTGGACTGTGGGAGGAAGCCGGAGAACCCGGAGAGAACCCACGCTGCACGGGGAGAACATGGAGACTCCTCACCGGGATGCCAACTGGCGACCTTCTAGCTGCGAGGCGACGGTGCTAACCACCGAGCCGATTATAAGAATAATTAAGTTCTAATCTATGATCAGCTGGTGGCCCAAAGTCAGAAATATTCCAGTTTTCAGAGACAGCTATTCTGCTATGAGTCCAAAATGACTTGCATGTTCTGAACATTATCAAGACTTGCCTAAAATAAATTTTAAATTTGTCCAAAATGACACAAAACTTGTTGTAGAGGAGCAAAGAAACCAACAAATATCCTCATTGAAGAAGCTGTTGATTGTCTTTGACATAGTTGTACATCTACGTGTGGCTCTTGTACATCACACTGTGCTGCCTTTTAGCCTCTTTTACAGTCACTGTCATCTGTTAGGGTTCATTCTGTGTGTATTCAAGTCAGTCTCGTGAAGTCCTTTTGCATCTTTTTGTGTCTGTTTTTATGTCTGCTGTGTCTGCTTGTGTTAAAGTTTCCCAAAGTCCAAGACGACAAACGTCTTGTTTTGTCTACGATGCAAAGATAAAACATTTACCGTCACAGAGCAGGAAAGGATCCAGAAAATCACAGAGTTCAGACTTTAATTATCAAAACAGCTGCTGATTAATTAAAGAGTAGAAAAATGAATTGTTGACTGTCACACTTACCGGTGTGAATTTACCTCCATGAGCCAACAGCTCCCTCGAGTGTCTCAAATGAGACACTGAATGTTTAGACCAGAGATATTCTGATCTAAATGTTCACTACAAACAGACTGAACCTTACTCCAGTCCCTCAGTCGTGTCGCAGGTTTAAAGTTACCATCCACCACCTGTGGCTGCAAATAATCTGTTTCCATTAATAATTATTCCATCTATTAGTCCTTCTGCTGTTTGGGTGAGTGGACAGAGAGAGCAGGCTACAAACAGCAGCACCAGGTGAGTCGTACCTGTTCAGCCATGAGCTGCTGCCTCTGCATGTACTGCTGCTGCTGCTGCTTCTGCTGCTCCAGGATCTGCTGCTGCTGCTGCTGCTTCAGCGCCGCTGCCACCGCCTGGCTGTTCAGGTACGCCTGGTTGCTCGCCATGGCGTTGGCCCCCGGCTGGGCAGACATGGCGTTGCTCCCAGGTGCCGACGTCATGGCGTTGGTGGGGCCCGGGCCGTGAGGGGGAGCCGAGTACGAGTTCTGGTCCTGTTAGCAACGGACATAAAGATGACAGTGAATTTGATGTTGGAACAGGAGAGTCTGGATGCAGTCTTTAAGGGACAGAATCATGTTAAACTGAATGTTTTTGTTACTAGCTAGTTTTTTTGCCATGAAGATAGAAACATATACAGGTGCAGTCATTACACATTTGGGTCATTCCATGAAGAATCAATCAGAGCCTTCACCAGAGCTCCTCAGAATCAGCCTCAGAACTTCATCAGGACATTGTGCTGATATGTAATATGCTACAACAATATTCTGCCAGAGTGAACGGTGTCTAGAAGATGATGGTATCACAGAGACGTAAAAATGAGCTAGTTCTGAAGCACCATCACATCACAAACAGGATGACACAATGGTTTCACAGACCTGGAAAGTCCTGGGAGTTTCCAGGTTTTCCAGGACATGCATCGTATTCCACAGCAACAGATGCTATTTTTTGACATGCGATAACTCAGAAAGCAGAAATGTGATGTCAAAGTGAATTAATCATTCAGTTTGTTGCAACTGTGGGAGTCAGTGAGGATGGAGAAGTTCCTGCAGAGGTTACTACAGCCACACAATAAAAGGTCTGGGACAACATGTTGGTGATTTATATATACTCAGTGCAGCTAACAGTGCAGGGTTTGTCCTGACTGTGGCTCTGTAGGAAAGGGTTTTCACCGTCGTGTAGAATCATCGCTCCAGATATATGCTGGGCTGACCGGTGCCACCATCCAGGGCCAGAAACTAAAGTTTGAGTCACACTGATCAAAGGTTGTGATAATAAAGTGTGAAGTGCAGCAGGAACATGGTGTCCTGGCTGCTCAGAGGAAAAACACAGGCGGCGGCGGTGGCGGCTATATTTAAATACAGAGCGAGGATATGAAAGGCTGCTTTGTCACGGCCTCCTCCACCCCCCTCAGAGAGCCGTAGCAACCAGCTGCTTGACCCAGACACACACTCGGAGGCTGGACGTTAAAGTGAGGGGCCCGGCTGAACAAAAGGCCTCACTGCTGCAGCCCAACTTCACCTCCGCTGCACCGGCTTCATCTGCAGCTGCTGGACTGAAACCAGTACGACCAGCGAGACGTGGACACGTTTAGCTATTGAGAAAGCCACATTTAATTCAATCTGGGAAAAAAAAAATCAATCAGAACCTCCCACCTGAAGCTCTTAGGATGAAGTTTCAACCCAAAAAATAAGCTTTTAGTGGAGCTTCAGATACAGCCGCACAGTGCTTCAGGGTCTTATCGTGCTTTTACAGCAGCCAGGAGTCCTTCCATATAAACCATCTGAACACATCTGACTCCCTCACAATCAGTTTTAGTGTATTTAATATTTATGTGATGTTTTCTTCTTTATATTTAGTAAGTCATATAAAGTTGTACCTGTTCCAGGTCTGGAAAACTACCCTGTTTGTTTGTAACGGGATGAAGGATGATTTGCTGTTGTTTAGGTTTGACAAATGGATCATTCTCGAGAAGACAATCTGAAAAAAGTTGCCCCTGACCTCCTCAGAATCAGCTGATTCTTTAGCTGCAGTAACTTTAGTGTATTGAAAGTAGTTTTACTTTCATACTGTGAATGTTTTCAGGACCTTAGTTCCAGGTTTATCACTTTAATGGACTGTTTCCATCATTTCTGAGCCTCAGAACTTCATCAGTGCAGCAGATAGACACATGACATTTAGGAGAAAGAACACTTCTGAGTTCTGGTAGAACCTGACACCAGATCATTTCCACATCCATCCAGGTGTCTCAGTCTGAACACTAAATCAATTTTTACATTAAAAAAAATTAAAAAATGATCGGCAACTTTGAGCATTAGTATTATGGGACGTATCACAGTTGGAACTGCAAAACTGCAGCAGTTTAATGACATATGACAGACAAGCAATCACTGGTACCCTGGATGTGTTTCTGTTTACTGATAGTTGACCAGAGAAAACTTTACAAAGTGCACATTTGGTAGACTTTTAAAGTATCTGTATTTCAGGAACTTAAAAGGTCCGGTGGAGTGAGACGACTTGGTTTTAAGTGATCGGCTCAGTAAATAAACCCTTTGATTTCCTCCTTGATCTCACCAATGCAGGTCCAGATTCTAAGGAATTAAACTGATGACATTAAAATGTGAATGCTTAATCAAGGTTTAGTTTTCCAGCCACTAGTTAAGCATCTGCTCTGTTGTACTGAACAGAAGCTGAGCAGCTGCTGGTAGTTTTTGATCAGCTGCTCAGACTGAGGTGATGTGTGGTGTGACTGTGTGGTTCTTACCTGTGTGTGTGGTATGTGTTGGCGGAAGTTCATGCTGTTCTTCTGCTTGATCTGCTGCTGCTGCCGGAGCAGCGTCAGCAGGGCCGCCTTGTTCTGGCTCTGGGCGTTGGGGGGCCGCGGTGGGCCGGGCCCCGCCTCAAAGTGCGACAGAGGTTTGGTGTTGTTGTAGTTCAGCATGGCGGCCTGAGCCTGAGCTCCCGCGGTGGGTGCGTGGCTGAGGGGGGGCCCTGACGTCAGGTGACCCAGCATGTTGGGGTGCCCGGTGGGCCCCTGCATGTAGCTGCCCGCCCCTGCCTTGGGAGAGCCCTTGTTGGGCTGACCGGGCATCAGCAGCTGTTTCTGGGTGTTAGGGTTAAAGTCCTGCGGGTACAAGGAAGGGCTTGTGGGCTTGTCCATACCAAAGGCGCCCCCTAGTGAGCTCTGTGAGGTGTTGGGCATCTGGGGCCATGGCGAGGGATGGGCGTGGGGCCCCTGGCTGTGGAACTTGGCCCCTGGCTGTGGCTGTTTGTGCATCTGGCCGTGGAGGTGCTGGGCTCGCTGCTGTTGGGCGGCCAGCTGCTGGAGCTGCTGGGCAGGGGACAGGTCTTTGGGCACCGGAGGCCCCGGAGGGAGGAGATGGTTGGGAGGAGGCTGCAGCTGCCGAGGGGGAGGAGCTGGCTGGGAGGGAGGCAGAGCCGGGGAGGAGGCGGAGGAGGAGGCGACAGGGGAGCTGGTGGGGTGAGGAGGTGGCCCAGAGGAGGTGGACCTGACGTGGGGTGAGCCAGTGCGAGAGTCCTGCTCGAAGACGGCCGATGCCGGAGAGAACTCTGCCTTCACGCTGGCCAGATCTGGAGGGAGCAGCCCCCCTGACGGCTGGCCTCCTCCACCCGGTGCTCCTCCCACCGACGCTCCTCCACCCGGAGTCGGCGCCAGCTCCAGTGGGTCTTTGCGGTCCTCAAAGCCGTCGTTGAGAATGTCCTGGATGTCCTCGTAGGCCACGGAGCAGTTCAGCTCCTCCATCAGCTCCGTCCACTCCTGCTCGTTCAGGTTCAGGTCGGGGAACAAGCTGTTGTTGCCACCGCCCGACGGAGGCATGATGGGCAGAATGTCGTCCGGCTCCTGCTTCATCTCCTTCCGATGGAAGTCCGACCCCGGCTCCCCGCCGCCATCCGCCGACTCCCCTGCCGGCCCGTGGGTCCCGTTGGAGTTGAGTGAGTCACTGATGCCCAGCTTTGAGTCCAGTGGGGAGCCGTTGGTGGTGCCATTGTCCAGGCAGGCCTTCTTGCTGGAGGGAAAGCCGTCGCTGTAGCCGTTGACCTGATCTCTGCCCAGCGGAGAACCGGCGCTTTCCAGCTTCCTCTTCACCGTCTCCTGCAGCTGGAGCAACAAACAAGCAGAGAATTAATGACATCCAGGTTATTGATACGTTAGACCCATAATATCCAAGTTATTAACATTTTAATACATTAACATCCAGGTTGTGAATACTTATATTATTGCATATTACTCATCTTTAGAAACAGGTGAAGAAACTACACAAAAGCAAATCATAGTTTCAGCCTCACTGAACAGAGGGAGAAAGGTGACGCATCCGCCACAAACTAAACCTCTTAAAGTTTCAAACCAACATAAAAACACTACGGCATTAAAAACAAAATGCTCTTTAAACCTGGGCAACAGACACATCACAGCATCTGACCTGGATAAATGCATTTTCTAAAATTACATACATTTGCAGTTTCTAGTTGGAGTTTATTCCACTAATTTTTTTTTTCTATTATTTTCTTTTCAATCAGATTATTTTCGTCAGTTATGATTCAGTCTAGGCTCATAACAACTCATCACAGCCTTCTGTTTTGTCTGAGCAACAGTTTTCTGTGATTTAAAAACTGAGAAAAAAGCAAACCTGCACATTTGAAACTAGTGAAAGAAAGTGTTTATTGATGATGAAAGTCACTGCAGCTTCACTGGAACCGATTCACAACATCTCAGTTTAGATATGTGATCATGAACGGAGGTTATCTGGGAGCGCTGTGTAACAAAGCCAGCTGCTGAACTGTGACATCAGCTCTATTTCTGTCGACAGCGTTGCGTCTGCAGGGGGCGCTACAGCTGAGACGAAGGCTGGACAGGTCTGTGAGCTGCTGCTGCTGCTGTTAATAGAATCGGCTGCAGGCGGGCTTGCATAACGCCGATAACAAAGAGCTTCCTCAGAGCAGTCAGCAGATCCGATGTGTCCACTCTGAGGCGGCTCGACCCGACCGGATCCCAGAGCTTCCTGCAGCACGTCAGCTGATCCTCACACAGTTTCACTGTGAGGAAACCGTCCACACCTGCAGCCTGAAGACCGACAGCAGCCAGGTGAACACAGCAGAAGCTACACATGTGGTCTCTGTGGGGTGGATTATTAGATTTCAATAATGTCTCTAAGTGGGAACTCGCTCGGCTCTGATTGGTCCAGTCTGAATTCTTTTTTTTCTGTCGAGGTTAGTTAATATCAGGCTTGTTTAGACTTTTTTTTTTACATTATGATCCAGGTTATTGACACTTTGGTAGGCTAATATCCAGGTTATTTATAGTTTAAAAAAAAAACATTAATATCTAGGTCACACATTTTTACATTAACATCCAGGCTATTTGTACGCATGTTATTATCTGGGGTTGTTCATTAACATACAGGTAATTGAAGCTTTTTAAGTGAATATCCAGGTTAATTACACTGTTTAAATGGTATTATCCAGGTTATTGACCTTTGTTTATATTACATTTATGCTACTGTTTTAGATTATTGACCATCTTATTGATGCTTTGCTCCATTCGTGTCCTGCTCACTGACACTTTATTATTTGGCTTTACATTTGTGGATTACGATCAGAAAGAAAAAGGAAGACAATCAAAGTTTACGCCTCATTGCGCCGATGAAGAAAGGCTTCTCCAAAAAATGCTGAGAATTTCCTGATGAGCCTGACTGGAGCCAGAATGCCAGCGTTCAAACGTTTGGACAGCCGAGCCGGGCTCCAGCTCTGAAGTCCTGCTGCACCGGTTCTGAAACAGACGACCTTCATTTCCTCACCCTTGAATCAGTTTGTGACTCCTCAGATTCATGTTTTTCCCAACACTGTGTCTTCACTGTGTCTAATGCGATCTCTGCTCCAGGCAGCACAGATACAACAAAATGCGTGGGAGTGCAGATGTTTTCAGAGTGTGTGACAGTCGGCTTCATATTCTCAGAGTCAGAGGAAAATCACACACTTATTCAAATCAGTCTTTCTGTTACTGTTACTCACAGAGCTTCCCTCTCGCGTGAGCACTCTGTTCCTGAAATCAAACCTCCATCAGTAGTTTCTATACTGGCCTGAACTGAAACATACAGCATGAACAACCACAACACCTCCGTTAAGTTTAACAAAATCGGCAACGTGTTCATTGATTCATTATTCAAACTATTTTTAACAAGTGGTATTGGCTCTAGATTCTAGTATGTGAGCGTGACGGTGGAAATTAAAGTGTAGGTTTAGGAAATTAACATTCAAAAATATCAATAACCAGGAAATTAACACACTAAGGTGTCAATAATCTGGATATTAACGTAATTAAGTATCAATAATCAAGATATTCATGTCCGAAAGGGCACACAACTTGGATATTAATGCATCAAGCAGTAAATAACCTGGATGTTAACGTTACAGGTGCAATAATCTCATCTACCAGCTGAAAGTCCAGCGTTATAACAGAGCCTCTCTAGTATGACATGTTCCTCACACCATGTATTTAGATATAATAATAAAGTAACAATAGTGATAATCGTAAAACCACAGCGTTTAACTGTTGTTACTTCCCTTCAGACCTGGACTGTAGAAGCTGTTGGACCTCAGAGGTTACCACCAGAAAGCAGAAGGTGGCTGAACTTTATGAACCAAACCAGAAGCTCCCTAATGGAAACTATTCTTGTTTGAACCCACAAATTTGTTTAATTTTTACCAATCAGACCCAAATGTCCTCATACGGACGCTCAATTTTCCTACAAAGGCAGATGACAAAACAAAAATGGTCCCAAGGAACTTGCAGCAGGTTTCCTCCAGGGTTTCCAGGATGATAAGCGGGACTGAGCTTCAGCGGAAATAAAACAAAACTGACAGACGGAGAGAATCTGCCCTGAGGAAAAGAAAACTGGTGACTCACTGAACTCCTTCTACCTGAAATACAGGTCGGATTCCACCTTCTTGTTACCATAGTTACAGGACTGCTTGGAGGAAGGGGGCAGGGCCTGCTGCACAGAGCACACCAGTGGGATTGTGGGTATTTGAGTCTGCAGGCAGCAGAGGCTGCTCTGACACAAACATTCATCAGAGCTGCTTCAGAGACAGATGCTATTGCCGGCTTGACCTCCAAGTTTATCTCAAACTGCTCCTCAACACGAAAACACAGAAACAGGCAGCAGTTTAAACACATCCACCGATAATATCCAAGGTGACTCTGGGAGCCTTTGTTATGGCTAACGAGCGTGCATATTTACCGTGACGCCTGGCCGACAGATAAACGAGGTTTCTGGTGATTCACCCTGGAATTTCTGGCTCTCGCTTTGCCACAAAAATGCAAAATATCTGGTGTGTTTATGTCGTCTGACTGCTGCCCCCGCGCATGTTTTTAGCTCTGAAAGTCTGACTTTGCGACGCTGGAATTTTAAACATGTTCACTGCGTTATGAGGTGGTTGTGAGATCAGCTCACTGACATCAGCACACGGATCAGCACAAACAGTGGCGATAGGACCAAGGGTTTTCAGAAGAAAACGTTTGTTCTTCAACGAAGTAAAGACATTTTTCTGTTCAAGAAAATATTCCAATAAAGAATGCTGTGACTCTATGCAGCTGTTAGGTGAGGTGCTTCTTTAACCATGCACGCGGCTCTTTTTCTTTTTACTAGTCAAGTCACACATATTTTATTTTTTACTGTTTATTGATGCTTGAAGGGGCTAAATAAGGATAAAGGAGATTTGTCTTGTAACTGCTCCTTGTGTGTGTTGATTGTGAATCATTTTTTCTCCTATGAGGGGGATTCCCACCTCTACAGAGGAAGTTTCATCAACAACAGCTGAGGTTCTGCATTTAGAACCATCCATCCATAATCTCTTCACCTTAACCCTCACTAGGGTCATGGGGGGCTAGAGCCTATCCCAGCCGACGTAGGGCGAAGGCAGGGGACACCCTGGACAGGTAACCAGTCTATCACAGGGCCACACTTACAGACAGACAACCACTGTGTGGGAGGAAGCCGGAGAACCCGGAGAGAACCCACGCTGCACGGGGAGAACATGGAGACTCCACGCAGAAATTCCGGTGTCCTTCTTGCTGCGAGGCAACAGTGCTAACCAACTGCGCCACCCTGCAGCCCCTGCTGGAACATGTTATTGGCTAAACTAAAAATCAAAGATAATCCTATTTAGTTATGTTCAAAGCTGTGACATATAGACCAGCATATATCAATTTATGTCACTATATATCGATATGGGCTGCAGGTGTCTCAGTGGTTAGCACCATCGCCTCGCAGCTAGAAGGTCGTCGGTTGGCATCCCGGTGAGGACACCCGAGATCTTCCTGCGTGGAGTCTCCATGTTCTCCCCGTGCAGCGTGGGTTCTCTCCGGGTTCTCCGGCTTCCTCCCATAGTCCAGAAACATGTTGAGGTTAATTGGTGATTGTAAATTGTCCGTAGGTGTGAATGTGAGTGTGCTTGGTTGTCTGTCTCTAAGTGTAGCCCTGTGATAGACTGGTTACCTGTCCAGGTGAACCTGCCTTCACCCTGAGTCAGCTGGGATAGGCTCCGCCCCCCGTAAATTTTCTGACATTTTGCAGACCATAGAAATAATCAGTTAATCCAGAAAATAATCAACAATGAAAGCAATTGTTTACAGCAGTTATTATCTACTTGATTCTGCATAATCATACCTTATGAGCATTAGACTATTGAGATATTTTCTAATCTGACTGTATTTGTTCTTCCAACAGGTAGGAGTTAGTAAGCAACATTTATTTCAAATTCATTTCTTTTTTTCCCCCCATTTTGTGTGATTTATTTTCTTTTTTTGCCTCTATGGTATTGTGGCATGTCTGAAATAAATCAGTGGATAAAATAATAATCATAAATATTTGTTGGGTATGATCATTAGCGTCTGCACCTTCTCTCAGTGACATCACCCCTGACATCAGCGGAGCAGCCAATCGTTTGGGAGCAGCTGTGATGTGGCTCCACCTCCTCCTACTGCTGCCACAGAGCGGAGTGGGAACGAGGCGTTTCTCCACAGTGTTAGTATTCACAACCAACAAAGTGAGCGGTGAGTCAGCTGTGAGGGGGCGGAGGGGGTTTCTGTTCAGACTGAGTCACCTCTCAGGACTCCGCTGTTTGTCAGCCTGCTGTTCCCTGAGAACACCAGAGCTGAACTGATGTTATACTACAGTCACTGTTTGTCAGCCTGCTGTTCCCTCAGAACCACTGAGAAAACGTTGCTGTTGTGTCCAGCTGTCTGAAGGAACCCTGGAAGCTCCTCTGTGACCATTAGAACCTCCTAAAAGTCCACTAGATTCCTCTGAATGACCCCAAACTGCTCCTGAGAGATACAAGAATTCTTAAAACAATCCAGATAATCTTCAAGGGACTACTGGAACCTTTGCAATGATCTATAGAACTTCCTCCTAAAAGACCCCTAACAACACAAAAAATGAATGATTAAGGACTTCAAAACATTCTCACTGGCCACTTGAGTTGTTTAAAAGTGCTTTAAAGGATCAGTAGAACTTCTTTAGTGAATACCAAAGCTTCATAAAGGACCCCTAAAGCTACTCAGGCAGCATTAGGTTCTCTAAGGGATCCTTGAGACTTCCATAGTGACCATCAGAACCCACCCAAGGACCCCTAAAACTACTCAGAAATCACCAGGAACAACTAAAGGACCCCTAAAATTTGATCAGTGACAGTAAGAGGCCCTAGAAGAACCCTACAACTCCTTGGTGAGCATCAGGACCCACAGAAGGACCCCTAAAACTTCACCCATGACCATCACAACCTCTCAGAAAAGCCCTGAAGCTCCTCTGTGTAAGATTCTTGTGAATGACCCTGAAACGTAACCAAGAGATGCCAGAACCTTTGAAAGTGTCACTATAGCTTTTTATGAACTACTAAAAGATCTTCCTGAGTGGCTGCTCGTGCACTATGAAGGACTCCTAAACACTTAGAAAATACTGCCAAAACAGCTGAAAGACCCATAGGAGCTCCTCTACAAAAATCAGAACCTGCACCCTTTAATCACCACAAAACATTTCAAAGAATTCTGAGAAAATCCTCGGTAGCCATTAGAACATTTAAAGATAAATAAAAACTCCATAAATTCCCATCGGAGCTCCTTGATGGAAAACAGAACCCCACTAAGCTGAACGTATTGTGTCACGTCATCAGCATAGGAAAACACCAATAACTACCACTGAGTTGTTATTGTGGAGTTGTCATTTCTAATAAAGTTTGTTATGGCTGAATCTATGTGTTGTTTCAACTGCGTCTACAAAATGTCAGAACAAGGATAAAAGCCCAGTTATGGTCTCAAGAGTCACAACAAACCCAAAGAAAATCACTTTAAATAACAAATAACGCAGAAAGATGTGATTTTTAAAACGGTAGGAAACCTTCATTTACTGTGATATAACTGATCTGCTAAATATTCGTTTTACTGTTAAAACACTAAAATAAAAAGACAGAGGAGGTCAGAGGTTAGGGTTTGGTGTCTTGCTTGAGGACACTTCAGCAGCATGAAGGGTTTGAACCGAGTCATCCAACCATCCATCCATCATCTCAACACATTAAACCTCACTGGGGGGGCTGGAGTCTATCCCAGCTGATTCAGGGTGATGGCAGGTTCACCTGGACAGGTAACCAGTCTATCTCAGGGCTACACTTAGAGACAGACAACCAAGCACACTCACATTCACACCTACAAACAATTTACAATCACCAATTAACCTCAGCATGTTTCTGGACTGTGGGAGGAAGCCGGAGAACCCGGAGAGAACCCATGCTGCACGGGGAGAACATGGAGACTTCACGCAGAAAGATCCCGGGTGTCCTCACCGGGACGCCAACCGGCGACCTTCTAGCTGTGAGGTAACAGTGCTAACCACCAAGACAAATGCAGCCCTGAACCGAGTCAGTCAGTGCTGAAGTGACTGCAGTCATACTGGAGGAGAACATGGACCAAACAGCAAACCACAACACAAGTCTTCTGTCAGTCACTGGAAAACACAAGTGCTTCATCCATCAGTGCTCAGCCTGCAGGACAGCACTGATCGATCAACTGGCTCTGATTTATGGCCCAGGCTGGAGGAGGTTCGATGTGAGCCGAAGCCACACAGACACCAAAAAGCTGACAAAGAGTCCACACGAAGCAGAGAATGTTCTTTGTGGCTGAACCTCCAACCAAAACAGCCTCCAGCGTTGGTTCATCTAAAACCCTTCCTGGTGCTTCAGTGTGTTTGAGGTAAACTGAGCTTTTCCAAAACAATGACCTAAACCACCTCCGAGCCGTTCAGCACACATGCTAGCTGCAGGATCATCATTTCTCTGGATTTAGCCACGATGAGGACAAAAGAAGGACGTCATCAGCAGCGCCAGGACGACTTCCAGGTAACTTTTAGTGTTTATGACTGATGATTAGCTTAATACTTCAAGCCTGCTCAGCTGTAAGTGTAAATAAAACTACTTATGGTTGCAATACAACACAGTGAAGGGGACTGAAGGGAGCTGGAGGTGAAATAGTTAGGGACGAGATGAGCATCATTATCAGTTTTAAATTAGATATCAACATCAGCTCAGAATGAAAATTAACAGCTAGATCATTTCTGTCCAGATGAGTGTCCACAGCTTTGATAGATGTTGTTAGATAAAAATAAATATGGCTGCTTTACGTGTAATTCTTGCGCCATGTATTGTTTAGAAAAAAACACAACATTAGAATAAAGGCAGCGCCTGATGGGACAGCAGTAAGACATAAATATGATGCGTTACTAAGAGATGTAAACGAAAATACGACTTTGAACTCCAAACTTCCATTACTGCTCTGACTTGTAACCAGTCGAATACACATATAAAGCAACAGCATGGACAAAATAGGAGTTTCCACAGCATTATTTTTATACGAATCTGTGCAAACAAATAAAAAATGTAACTAACACATCCAACTGAGTCAATGCTGCACATGAAGCACTTTGCTCCCAGCTCAATAATTAAGATTTTACTGGATTAAACATACATGGATATTAGCCACTCCTGCTGCATGTCTCACATTAACCTGAATAAATACACCATCAATAGTACATTAACAGTCTCCAGATTATTTTGTTTTATGGCAACTACTTGTCTGAAACTTATTAAGGTGACCTGGTGCCAACATGCTAAGCATCTTGTTTACTCTGCTGCTCTGAGTCCTTCCAGCTGTCACTGCCACTGGTTTATCCCTGTTACAGCAACTTGTATGTAGTAGTGTGAGCTCTGACATCAGTGTTTGAGCTCTAACATCCAGCCTGTGTTCAGTGTGTCTGAGCT